AAAAAAGAATTGCAGAATGGTGTCAACAAAGCATTAAACCAAGTGCAGGGCCCTTCTGAGTCTGGGGCCTTGTTGACTGCAGAGGTCACACACCCATGAAACCCACTCTGCTGCCAACCCTGACCAGGCAAGGAAGGGCCAGGAGAGTTAATGCTCTTTCTTCCAGTCCACCACCTTCTGCAGATGACCCCACTGGTGGCAAAAGAGCCAGAGATATATCCAAAGAGGATAGTCTCCTAAGCTACAGACTAGGGGAGAGAAGGGTGGAGAGTGGGTCTGGGGGGGCAAACAGAATATCCAGCACAGGGTACTCCCAAATCTATTTCCAACAAATTTGGTTCCTTTTCAATTCATCTAAGATAACAAGGACCAGGTAGGCCCCAGGCGTGTCTCCAAATTTTTGTGGGGCCTGATGCTGATGCAATTTTGTCAGCCCTCTACGAAACAAACAAACAAACAAACAAACAAACAAATAAATAAAACAGAATTATAAATATAAATCTAGTGCAAAACTGGCTATTTACTGAGAATGAGAAATTACAGTAAAATAAATACTGGAGCTTGGAAGGTCCAAGTCCCTTTCTTCTGAGGTCCCTTGAAGATATACCAGCAATGCCTACAGATATATGCTTCCTGATCGCACCCTGGCTTCCCTCTCCCCACCAAGAGCACTCTATAACCCCGAGCAACAACTTCCATTCACAGGGGCCTAGGAAGTGAGGAGTCCTGAGGCTAAAATTTTATCAGCTTTATGGTAAATTCCTCTGTAGACCCACAAACTTAGAACGTAGAATTAAGTGACTGGAGAAGCAAGCATTTCCTAGCAGGTGAAAAGGGTGGGCCCTTGGGCTGTGATGTGACCCCTCTCCTACTGCACGTAGGCAGCGAGCCCGTGTGTTGGGCTCCTCTGGCCTAGTGCTTTTTCGCTGTAGTCAGGAAATTCCATTGAGTCTCAGGTATGTTATGTAGGGAATCGAGAAGGTAGTGGACAGTCAGGGCCACCCCTTTGCATTCTCAGTGTCTTGCCTACCCCTTGCACTGCTGGTTGGCTAGGCTGGAATAAGCCAAAGGGAAAATGACTTTAAGGACTCATTGTTCTCAGTCACCTTCAAATTCTGACCAGATTTTTTGCTGTGGCCTAACCAACAGACTCCTCTGTAGACAGAAACTACTAGTGGGCATTCTTCACAGCAGCTGAGGCAAAGGTGGAGGCAGTTTAGATTCAGGAGAAAGAAGGAGCACTTCAGTTGGATGGAAGGGCTGCCTTCAGTGAGGTTCTGGGGTCTGAGCCCTGGAGGCTGAGCAGGAGCCCATGGGGAGGAAGGAAGAGGGAAGATGAGGACAAAAGAAGGGGACTCACAGGTAAACGTAGGGAAATGGAAAGGTGCTAAAGAAAGATTTCAAACTTCGCTAAAGTCCTGGTGTGGGTGAACTCACTGTTTGCCCAAAGTATGGGGGTAGCTGCTGATACACGAGCTAAGAATACGTGCTTAACATGAGAGCATTTGATCTAAATAAGACAGAAGAAAGTAGTCTTAAGTGCCTAGGTTAAAATCTTGACCTTATTCCTCAATAGCTGTGAGACTTTGATCAAGAAACTCATTCTTTCTGTGTCTCAGTTTCCTTAGCTTTAAGATGAGGGTATGTTACATTACAGTATGTTATGTCATATCACGTCATATCACATCATGTAACGTCCCATTATGTTATTGCATCATGTTATATGGAGCTCACCTCATAGTGCCGCTTTGAGAATAGATAAGTTAACAATTATCAACTACCTATAATAGTTCTTAGTATGTGTGAGTTAATAGAAAATATACATATTGGTCTCCACCCCATTCCCAGCACAGAGCTCCTAAAACCTTTGTAATTTCCTAAGTGATAAGAGCACTAGGAGCATCTTTTATTCTAATGTTTGGTCTTTGGCCCTAGTTCCAGACACTGATCTCCTAAATCCCTTGGAATTTCCTGGGTGATAGCAGTGCCTTTTGTTCTAATAAAGTGACTCCTGGTGGGCTTTTGGATGGGAGCTGGTCATCAGAAAGACCAAGCCATGATTAGAAGCTTGGAATTTCCAGCCCACCTCCCATTTTCTAGAGAAGGGAGAAGGGCTGGAAATGGAGTTAATGATCCATCATGCCTACATGATGAAACCTCCCTAAAAATCCCAAAAGTATGGGGTTCAGAGAGCTTCTAGATTGGTGAACAAGTGGTCACACTAGGAGAGTGGAGGGCTAGTAGAGGGCTTGGAAGCTCCATGCCCCTTCCCCCAGATTTTGCCCTTCATATCTCTTCCATCTGGATGCTTCTCTGTATCCTTTAATAAACTGGTAAACGTAAGTTTTTCCATGAGTTTGGTGAGATGTTCTAGCAAATAATCAAATCCAGGGGGGAGCAGGTAGCCAAGTCAAACAGAAATTGTGGGTAATCTGGGGAGGGGAGGGGGTTGCGCCTGGTATATAAACTGGCAAGGGAGAGGGACAGTCTTGCGAGATGGAGCCCTTAACCTGTGGGATCTAATGCTATCTCCAGGTAGATAGTGGCAGAATTGAGTTAAATGGTAGGACACCTAGCTGGTGTTGCAAAACTGCTTGGTGTGGGGAAAAAACCCACACATCTGGTGTCAGAGGCGTTGTGAGTGTGATGGTGGTGTGACTGTAAGAAAGTAGTGAGAATACAGGAGTAGTATAGGTTTTTCTTACATGGTACACAATTAGTGCTTCACAAAAATGAGAAATTATTGTGGAATGACTCCAAATATAGGGCTTATACACATTTGGGCAATATTTAAAGTGCTAGTATTTCTGCAACAGATGAAGAATATGACCCATTCATTTAATGATGTATAGTTTTACAAAAATTATGATTTTGAATGGGTGGATTTTTCCATGTTTAATCTCTAGCCAAAGATAAGTATTATGAAGTTTTCGTTAATAAAACACAGTCATTTCTGAACTTTTCTCACCAAAAAGCAGAGTTACACTTTACCTTTTGATGCCTTGCTGATAAACTGTCCAACTCCACCATCCCCAAACACTGAGGAAAGGTTGTGCTTTCTCTTTAACTTTGGTCAGTTTATACACTAACATATGGAGGTCAGATGGAACACCAGATCCCACTGAGCAAATAGCTAGGTGGGGCTCTTTCCTCATTAAAGGCATTTAATTTAGATTAGAATCAAGTTTGAATAAAATAAACAGTTTTGAAAATGTTAGGGAAGGTTGGTCTTTTTTTGCTTCTAGAGGTCAACTTGAAATAAAATAGGAAGAGTCAGACTTTCTGGACTCCTGTGCATCTCTGAGCAAGCACATCACATAACCTCACTGATTTCCATGTCTCCATCCACAGAAGAATCATGTGGAGAGCATTGCCCAGCCCCATTCCTAAGGTTCTTGTGAGAATTAAAAAAATTTTTTGTTGTTTAAAAAAACTGAAAAACAAAAACACTCTACAAATGCAAAAAGAATGTACACAAATAACTCTCTTCTTACCCGATTTCTTTTTTGCATGTCATTCAACAGTAGGTAGACTGGCTTATATGTCAGGAGCAACAGCCCTGAATTAATCCCATTCATGTCTTTGAAGTGCTCTTACCAGTATCTGCAAGGGAAAAAAAAAAACAAAACACAACTTGATTAACCAACTAGTGTTCTTTAATGTTCCTTAAAAGTAAATGGTACCTGGCCAATAAGAGGTACTCAATAAATGTTTGTTGAGTGAATTTGAAAGTTCTATAATTTAAAACACTTGACAAGATTCCACTCCCAAGGATGCTAAAAGTCAAAACAATGACTAAAACAACCTAGTTACTAGGGAGATATAATTTTCTTGGAGAGAGAGTTGAATAATAACGGGAACCAGGGCCTTTGTGGTAAATGCTCTTCGTCTGGAACCATTGTGGTGATGATCCAGCATGAATGCATAATATCAACACGATTTAGCATTTCTATTAAAGAAATAAAAAGTGAAAGGTAAAAGTAAAAACTTGAAGGTGTTATTAAACTCTTCATTGTAACATAACGTTGGCAAAAAAATGCATGTGGATTTCATAAACTCTGTGAGTAAGCAGGACATTAGCAGTGTGCACAAGCATAGAACGGTGACCCCCTAAGGGGGAGAAAAGGGTTAAAGGGGTCTTACAGATTCAAGATATTGGTAACTGCTGGCTATAATTCATAAAGAAGGCTGGGAAAGGAAAAAAGGATTCTTTGTGGGTTTGTTTGTTTGTTCGTTTGTTTTGGTTTTTTAACGTCATATTAGCAGAGACCATCTTCTACTATCGGTCTTTTCCAACAATTTGTCTAAATATTTTGTAGGTATTTGTTAGCAATTTTTTCTCTTTCTCTGAACAGCTTTATTGAGATACAATTCTCACATACCACATAATTCACCCATTTAGAGTGTACAATTCAACAGTTTTTCCCCTATTCACAAGATTGTGCAACTGTTACCACTATTTAATTCCAGTACATTTTCATCACCCCTAAAAGAAACCCCTACCTATTTGCAGTCACACCTCATTTCCTCCCCTCCCCCAGGACAACCATTAATTTACTCTCTTACCTCTGTAAATCTGCCTGTCTATTCTGGACATCTCAAATAAATGGAATCATACAATGTGTGATCTTTTGTGATTGGCTTCTTTCACTTACATAATGTTCTCAAGGTTCATCCTGTTGTAACATGTATCTGTGTTTCATTTTTCTTTGTTGTTGAGTAATAGTCCATTGTATGGATACACCACATTTTATTAATTCTTTCAACCAGCAAGAGACATTTGGGTTGTTTTCACTTTGGGGCTATTTTGAATAATGCTCTTATCAACACTGATGTAGAAGCTTTGTGTGGACATATGTATCCATTTCTCTTGAGTATATATCTAGGAGTGGAGTGGTTGGGTCATATAATAGCTCTGTGTTAACTTTTTAAATAAACTTTTAAAAATTTGAGATACAATTCACATACTATAAAACTCACCATTTTAAAGTATACATTTTACTGGATTTTAGTATATTCACAAGATTATGCAACCATCATCAACATTTACTTCTAGAAAAATTTCATCTCCCCAGATAGAAACCCTGTACCCATTATCCTTGAATTAATGTTGGATCAGTAAGCCTAAGAGTCTTTTGTTCTTTCTTTTGCCTTGGGAAAACGATTTAAAATACATTGTCATTTTTATTAAAATTGAAATTTCATCTGAGTGAAAAATAAGTACTTTGACTTTTTAAAATAATGGGTTTATTGAGATGTAATTCATATACCATAAAATTTACCCATTTAAATTGTACAATTTAGAGGTTTATAGTACCTTCACAAAGTTGTGTAATCATTACCACTGTCTAATTCCAGAACATTTTCATCATGCCAAAAAGAAACATTGTACTCTTAGCAGTCATTCTTCCCTCCCCTTAGCCTCTAGCAACCACTAATTTATTCTTTGTTTCTATGAATCTTCCCATTCTGGACTATGTTTAACCTTTTAAGGACTAAAAAAAATTATTATACTATTGTCCATGAACCACCTCTTAGAAGCATAAATCACTTGGTTACACAATGTGCATGTGCACAGGCACACGCACACACACACACACACACACCCCTACTGTTTTTTGTCACTACTGACATTTTTACACCTCCATGCCACTTTGTTGTACTCACAGGTGAGCTCAGTACCTGTTAAAATACCAAAGCGGGGAAAATATAGTAAGCATACGGCAAATTATTGGTATCCTCAACAGAGAGATTTACCCATCTCCCCAGTAATCATATAATTTCAAACTAAAACAAGATAATTTTTTAATAAAAAAAAATCTCTTCCAAAAGAGAATCTCAACACTATAATATTCAGTATTGCTGAGGATGTAAGGAAAGAGTTACTCTCATACACTATCAATTGGAATTTAAAGTATGTATAACATTTCTCAAGCCCAATTTGGTGAGATGTATCAAAAATCTTTAAAATATTTGTACTTTTTGACCCAGAAATTCCACCTTAAGGAATTTAATCTAAATAAATTATTTTAGAACCCCCTAAAGATATATGTGTAGGGTTGTTTATTATCTCATTGGTATTTAAAATAGCAGAAAACAGGGGGAAAAAAACTAAATTTTTTTAACATTTTTTATTGAGTTAAAACCTAAATATTTTTAAGAGAAAGAGGTTAATTAATTAACTTCCAAAGAGCCATATGACCAATTACCAAATTGTTGTTAAAAATTATATTGAGGACCAGCAATGAACAGTGGAATTTGAAATAAAAAACACAGTATCATGTACAGTAGAACCCCCCAAAATGAAATTCTAAGGTATAAATCTAACAAAATATGTACAAGATCTATATGAGAAAAACTACAAAACTCTGGTGAATGACATCAAATAAGCACTAAATCAGTGGAGAGATATTCCATGTTACTGAATAGGAAGAGTCAATATTGTCAAGATGTCAGCTCTTCCCAACTAGATCTATAGATTCAGTGCAATTCCAATCAAAACCCCAACAAGTTATTTTGTGGATATTGACTAATAAAATATTCTAAAGTTTATATGCAGAGGAAAAAGACCTAGGATAGCCAACACAATATTGAATAAGACCGAAGTTGGAGTACTAACACTACCCAACCTCAAAACTTATGACAGTAAAGCTACAGAAATTAAGACTGTGTGAAATTGGCAAAGGAACAGACAAATAGATCAATGGAACAGAATAGAGAGTCCAGAAACAGACCATGGACTATTTATAGAATAAATACATATATTTACTTACAAATAAATATAGTCAACTGATCTTTGACAAAGAAGCAGAGGCAATATAATGGAGCAAAGATAGTCACTTCAATAAATGGTACTGGAACAACTAGACAGCCACAGAATGTCTAGATACAAAAAATAAATCAAGACAGAGTTTAGATCCTTCACCAAAATTAACTCAAGATGGATCATAACACCTAAACATAAAATATGAAATTATAAAATTCCTACAAGATAACATAGGAGAAAACCTAGATGACTTTTTCGATACACCAAAGGCACAACCCATTAAAGAAAACTGATAAGCTGGATTTCATTAAGTTAAATACTTGAAAAATGATGTAAAGAGAATGAGAAACAAGCCACAGACTGAAGGAAAATATTTACAAAAGACACATCTAATAAAGGACTGTTATGCAAAATATACAAAGAACTCTTAAAACACGACAATAAGAAAACAAACAACCCAATTAAAAAATGGGCCAAAGAATTTAACAGACGCCTCGCCAAAGAAGATAATACAGATGGCAAATAAGCATATGAAAAGCTTCACATCATATGTCATCAGCAACATGCAAAGTAACACAACAAGGAGATACCATTATACATCTATTGGATGTATAATGCAAAGTAAAACAACAAGGAGATACCATTATACATCTATTAGATGTATAATGCAAAGTAAAACAACAAAATATCATTATATATCTATTCATTGCTGGTGGGAATGCAAAATGGTACAACCACCTTGGAAGACAGTTTGGTGGTCTCTTACAAAACTAAACCTATTCTTCCATATCACCCAGCAATCACACTCCTCCCCTCAGCCCTCTGGGGGAGGTGGTTTTTCCTCTACCACCTTGTCCCCAGTTCTACGTGATCCCCTCACAGTGACTCCTGGCAGGCAACTGGCTCAATCCCAGCATCTCTGGACCTCAGAATATGGAACTTTTGTGTCTTCTCTCTGCCTGATGCAGGCTTTGAGGAACTTGGGGTCAAAGTTTCTTCTCCACCATTTCTTTCTATCTACAAACGAGACACTGACAGTTCTACTCTACTTAGACTGCCTCTTGCTGTCTTCAGGCTCTGTGAAGGACATCTTCCTCCCAGAATTCCAGATGCAAGGGGACAAGCCACCAAAAATTTTCTAGAAGTTTCCATTCTTCTCACAGTTTTTAAGGAGGAGGAAGGTAGAAAGTAAACTCTAGAAAAACACCCAACCTCTCTATTCTCTCTCCTTTCTTCTCCCTTCCCTCCCCTTTCTTTCTCTTTTCTTTCCTTTCCTTCCCTTCCCACTGTGGATGGGAGGTGGCTGTGGGTCCTCTAGGTAAGCACAAAAGACTGAAGTTCTGGGAAGTGGTCAGGGCTTGAGGTGCAGATTTGAAAGGCATCAGCATAGAGGTGATGGTTAACGGTATGGAGTTTATAAGTGAGGAGAGATCATGGTGCAGGGCAGAGTCCTAGGTCTCATATTTTATTATTAAGTAGTCAAAGAACTTAAGGAATAGAGATCCAAATGCTCAATATAAGATGATGGAGATGGTGGAGATGCTAACAGTTCTTAAGAAGAGGTCATGAGAATCACCAGGAACTTTTCCAAATCTGCCAGGAGAATAAGAGCCAAGCCCTGAAGGTCTCTTCCCCAGGAGTGGGCCTGGGTCTTAAAGCAGAGCTGTTTCCTCCTCTCCACTTAGGCTTCCCAAGCTGCCAGGCTACAATCACCCACTTCGACCTTCATTTGATGGTCACAAGTGGACAAGTGGATTTAGAGGATCTCATCCCTGGGTTGAAGTTCCTCTTCCTTTACAAGCTGGAGGGGTCTTCACATGCAAACAGCATCTTCATG